TGTGCCTGTGGTGGGGAGGATCCTGCAAATAAGTGTTTCTGTGTTTCCCTTTAAAGTCTACCAGGACATTTCCCTAACGGTCCTGAATCCTCCAATTTTAATATGATTGTGCACACCCCCCTAGGGTAGACCCAAGCCACTTTATTTAATACCACTTGAAATTTGAAATACAAAACAGTACAATTTGTGGAGGTTCCTGGCCAAAAAAGGCTAGGGAGAATCCTATGTGGTACGTGAGTGATGTACTTGAAATGCACAACCCTGAATCTCCAATTTCAGAAGATTGTAAACATCATGAGCTAATTTTGGAACAAAAGGATACGATCTGAACTGTTACTTTCCATAAGAAAAACAAGGAAAACATGGCATCTGAAGTTTCTGTGGCAAGTGCTTGTTCCCCAACATAACTAAGAAATTTGGTGAAACATGTTTGGATTACAAACAACTTGAGATCAAGCGATCGTAATCTTAATTATCTGTGAAAAAACTAGACATTCTCATGTTTACAGTGGACTATCTAGTGATGAAAATTTAGCCACACATGTATTATTTAGATGTATGTTGGTTCCCTTTTAGCTTGTGGAGGGGGGGGGGGGGGAGAAAGGTTAAACTCCTGACCCTGTCATTATTAAAAACCGCCATTTGAGAACCCCTGGAAACAATCACTCCCTGTTGGTCTCAGGTATTCAATTCTCTCCATCTAGAATATCTCCAAAACTGATCCGTGTTTGTTTACATTCGCTTTTGTCTGGCACAGAGTACATGTATTTTGCTGGAAAATAGCTGGCAAGTGTATAATGGGCTGTGTCACACTTTGTATTGTTTGTTCTGTCTGGAAAGTAAACAAAAACATATGTCAAATGGAACAAGTCCCGTGTCGATTTGGGTCGGATACATTTTTAAAAGCCATTCTTCCACATGTCACAATGGCGGCGTGTCGCTACGTTTTGGTTTGTCGATGACTCTGAGAGATGAAATGCTGCATGCGGCCTAAACATTCCGCCAGAAGATTCAAGAGGGGCTCTGATTCATCCAGGGGTTACCATGGAAACCAGGATGAAGATAATGTTGCCTATGTTTCTAGTGTAGAAGGTAGGATTACAGTGTTCAGTGTATCTACCGGTAGTTAGTGGTGTTTATTTGTTTAATATTTAGCAGCAGCTGTACATTACATGTAAGTGCAGTTGTAATGTGGGAATTTGCCATTTCACAAAACTTCTGAATATTACATGTATGTAGCCTACTTGTATTTATGTTGTTTGTTCATCACAATATTTTCTTGTTCAGTGCACATTGTACTTGGCAATAGATAGAGTGGTGCTGAAACGAAAATACACTGCACATTATGAAATACGTACAAACAACTGCAGATGTATTTTGGTTGTTTTTAATGAATCCTCCAATTTTAATACAATTTTGCACACCCCCTAGGGAGTTTGGGTTAAACCTCTCCATTGAAATTCTTGATTCAAACCACTTGAATACTAAATTGTAGTCCAATACTGAGTAGCAAAGCAATGACTGTAAACTCTTTGTGCTTGAGCAGACATGGTTCCTCCCCCCCCCCTGCCCTTCCTGGGCTGCCCCACCCAAGATTGTCACTTTTGAATCTCCACCCCTGGGGCAAAATTTAGGTGACAATCTCCGACATACATGTACATGTAACGGTACATGGGTGGGGCGCACTTACCAGTAACTGATTGCCTTTCCATCTCTGGCGCCAATGGTCAAAATGTTTGTGAAATCCCCAGTGCATTGTAATAAATCCAGCAGGTTCATGTGCGTAATGAGATGCATTGTAGCAACCACCAAAACCCACGCACTACAGGTAAAAACAAGGGGCTGGCTCGTTTGTTTTAACCATCTGTAAATGTTGACTCCAATTACTGCTGACTGCTTGTTACTAAGGAAATTGTGTTGAATGGGGTCAAGCATGCTCCAGTGATGTGCGCTTTCATTTACAGAAATACTCAGACTAGCCACCACCTGTCTGTATTCCATTTTTTTTTTTTTTTTTTTGAATGCCCATGACTTCATATCCCTAACTTATTTTTGCAAAGTAGGACATCTTTTTCATTGAGAAAATTTAAACTTGTCTAAGGACTAAGGTCATGATTTTTCTCAATGCACAAATGCAATCATGGAAAGTAGCACTTAACAGAAATATTAATTGAATGGGTATCCTTTTTATACTCCAATGACTTTATGTAGGAATCGCCCAAGGCTGTTGCATGTAATTAATTGACATCACGCAGTAAAGCATATTGCCCGCTTTTTTATGATACAGATACATTATGTATTATGCATGTTCAGTATACAGATCTGCCTACTTGTAGATTTTGTTATGAATATTACAAAGCTTTCTAGATCACGCAACCCAGAAGCCTGTATTGAGTGATTCAGAGTCAGTATACCCAGGTGTACATGTACATGTCGGATTGATATTCTGTGTTTGACTCATGAGTTTGCTTCAGTAAAAAATGTAATGAATAGTAGAAAAGAGTTGGTAGACAAACTGCAGCTCCGTAAAAACGTAGTCCTACATTGTATGACCTCAGGCATGCAACTTTTCCTGGGATCAGCTGATTTCCTTTATTTATTTCCCATGTCTGCCATTAAAAATAGAAAAACACTGTGCAAAGTCTTGGAAAGGTTAAAATTTCCTTTTTTTGTGACTTCCCAGTTGCGTGCCTGGCAGGTAGGCGAGTTAAAAAATACTGACAAGTTTGAAATTTGAGTACACGTACACAATTTTATAAAGAAAACTCATGCATTTTTGCAATATTAGCCTTTTTTGTACATGTATACATGTATGTCATGTTTTTGAACTTTGCTTTTAAAAGGTCAAAATAGAAAGAAAAAAAGTTGGTGCAAAAGTTGAGATTTGGTCATGAACAGTAACAGGCCAAGCAGGTTGACCTACATTGCACCACCTGTTGGTCACTGCTCAGCACCGACCCTCAACTGTTTGACAACTGTAACCCTAGTAACCCTGTTGCCTTGACAACCACACAGGGCACCAGGTCAACTCAGGACAGAGTGCACGAGTGGTGCTGGCTGGGAGAGAGTTGTTTGATTTAAAAATACAAGTACATGTACAGGTACATTGTGCAGTGCAGAACTTGTTGACTTATATCTTGACTACATGTATTTCATGAACTGTACTTCAAAGAGGCTAATAAGATTTGTTGTCACATAGTCCACTGTTTGTAGTTGGTGTTGAGCCAGGATTCTTCATTACATGTAAATATCCAAAAAATAGTTTAATTTACTGACAAATATGCACTGACTATGGGCTACATGCAATGTCTTTAAAGTTTCAACTTTTGTAGTCATGAATATGAAAGATAGGCCTACAAATTGTTTTTCTATAAAAAAACCCATTTATTCCATGACTTTTATACTCTTTCTTGTTTGTAAGTACAGACATATATCAAGGTTACAAATACCACTTAATCTGAAAATCGAAAACAAAATAAACCCCTTCTAGCCTGAATCTGTCGAAATCTGTTTGCATGTAATCTGAAGAATACCCAAAGCTACAGTTAGGAATTATTATATTTCAACCTTTCATCACACACCAGATTTGTTTGCACATTTTGTACTTCTAGGATGGTCAAGGTGTGTTGAGGTTCCATTTTAGCAAAAACAATTTTATTTCGGACATGATTGGAAATCACAAGAGATGTTGCAACATACCGGTATTGTTCATCAATATCTTCTTTCACAATTTCACATGCATCCAAAATTCAATAAGCTTTAGGGGGGCCTATTGCATGGTTGCTAAACCATGACCCTACAGTAATACTGCTTTATTACTGTAAAAGTTTTGGCAACAAAGAGATCTATCTCACAACTTTGAGGATACCCAATAAAGGAAAACCGTTATCGCATGATTAGTGGACAATGACCATTGCTGCTTTTTTTTCCAGCTTTTTTTGTGTGTTCAAATTTTTAGACAACTAACTGTATTAAAAGAGATCTGGCATCATACATGTATTGTGTAACTTCAAGGAATCCCAAGAAATGAAAACCTTTATTGCATGATCAGCAGACCAAATCCCATTACTGCTTTATTACTATATCAATCATCCATGCATGTATTGTATTCTCTAGTCATAAAGATGACAGGTTTTGACAAGGGGACTGATTGCGGACCCCTAGGAACACTGGCTATTGCGCTCTGCCCCCCCCCCCCCCCAACTTGACATATCAATTGTTTCTGTCACCAGAGTTATAAAACATGTATGCAAAAGCACTGTTTTCGTTAAGCCAAACGAGCCAAAAAAAGTGTATTCCTGGAATTGAACTAATCCTGGACTCAAACTAAGGGTATGTGTGACAGTGTACTTGGAAGGCATGTCAGACAACTCGATCATTGAGACAACTCGACTCGGGACAGTTCAACCGTTGAGACAACTCGACTGTTGAGACAACTCGACCATTGAGACAGTACAAATCGACTCAGGACAACTCGACCGTTGAGACAACACAATCATTCAAAACCTACCTGATCTCTTATGTCCGCCCATCCCAAGTGCCAATGAATGAGATACATGTAGCGCCATCATTTTCCTAAACTAAAATAAGCCAACCCTGTCCAGCAACCCCAGCCCCATTGATCTGGCCTGACAGACCGAGCCAAGCAGGCTACCCCCAACCCGTACCCCACCACCAGGGGTAGGGCCTACCGGTACTATGAGTATGAATATTCTTCGAAAAAAAATGCGAGTAGACTTAATTGTCTCAACTGGCGAGTTGTCTCAACAGACGACTTGTCTTAACGCACAGAGGTTGAGTTGTCTCTAACTAGATGTTCCAAAACGAGTTGTCTGTCTCATCGGTCGAGTTGTCGGACTCCCACTTCGAAGTGCTGACTTTCTTTGTCTCTAGCCTAGGGCGGCACTGAGGCATAGGTCATGTTATTCTTGAATCTCTGCATGTTACTTCTGGAAGGTTGCCAGCTTTTCAATTCAAGTAAATCATGTTTATACACTTACCTAACATTCCATAGAAGCTTGGATGAACTCCAATTCCACATATTTGATTCCCTTCTGGTCCTTCCACCATCACCCCAATACAGACCAAGTTTCGACCCTACATACTATAGTATCATGGAGGAATCAACAATTCAGTCCAAACACATACCAGATTCATGTGAGAACACAAGACATACTAACTGAAATCCTACCACTGGCTACCTGTGTGTGTGTAAAAAGGATTGGTCCCATCCTATCCAGGTATATACCTTTGTGCACAGATTTACTTCTGTTGGTTTGAGTACAATCTCAGTTCACGCTTCAGGGGGCCTGAATGGTATTAAGGTAACCTGTGTGACCACTCATTGGGGAGCTGGGGAGGTACATTGAAATAGTTTTGTGTAGGAGTACAAGGGCATGTAGTTGGCGTCTGTTAGTGTAGGGTTTCAGTGGCACAGACTGTGATTGTAATGCACAGTAATGTGAAACACCTTGCAAGGAGTATCGTTAACCATGAGCACACCCACAACTTATGGTTGAGTACTGGACAATGTGTTCTTCGAGTTGCAAGAATGAGGAAACAAACTAAACGTGTGGATCATGGAATTTATACTGGCTGTTTTGGCACAGACCTGTACCTGAGGAGTTTGGAGTATTGCATGGATCAACTAGTGAATGTTATGTAGAGGACCTGATACCAGTGGGAGATTGAATAAGTTAGCACTCCCACCATGTCTGAATACAGACGCAGACAACTTATAGGTAATGTACACATAGTTCCTTGCTTACGGTACCTCCATGCTTCTACTGTCAAGACTGTGTGGGTTTGTCATCTCATGGAGGAAGCCTCTTCCTCTGTGGTCATCTCAGCTACGAGTGTATTAAATTTTTGTTGTGTCATGTTATGAGCATGATGAGGTTGATTGCTTTTTATTCAAAACAAGGTTCTGAGCTTTTATTTTTAATGTGAATGATTAAACTAAAGTTTGTGATCTGATGACAGATTCTGGGACTAAAAACCAGGTGGCTTTTATTTAGCCAATTGATTTCTTTTACAAATGTTCCCAAAAGTATACTCCTATATTGTATGTTTTTATTTCCAGTAAGCATTAATTGGTTTATTCCTGGATAGATTTTGATCTACAAACAAGGCCCACAAGTTCTCTCTTGATAGAAGGCTTTCTTCTTATAATACATTGTTTATTAACAATTCCATTCCTGACTTTTTGATGGAAGTTTACATCAAGGAAATTAGTTAATAATATGGGTGTGTGACCCACACCCACACGTTATTTTACAAGTTTGGATAGGACTTGAACCTATACCTCTTGCTTGCACAGTTGCAGCTATCTTTACCACTCCAAATCCAATGATGAGCTTGTCCGGGTCTGTTGGCCGGCACCGAGTATACATCCACACTGTTCATGAAATTGTCAATGGATGGTATATAAAATTCCATGCTATCTGTGTACCCTGACCCCATTCTATGGTAGTTTGCGTAAACTTGTATACATTGCATGTTGATCTGCATTCGGCACGCTTAATATTACACTAACATGTTATATACATGAAGTTTCTACACATTTATTATTACATGTATATCATGCTGCAAGTTTTAACTATGCATTTTTTGGTTGCTATGTAAACAGCTTCACTGTTACATAACAAATATGATAAAAATCAGAGTTGGTACATGTACCGGTACCGGTATGTAAGCATTTGGTCCATTTTGAGGTGGATACTATACGTGTACATGTATGTATGACATGAGGATCTCCATAGCCCACAGAACATGTAGTCAAATTCAGAAGAAATCAAAATGAAAAAGCATGTTGTTTCATACAAGCAACACCGGGAACAGAAGTCAGTGGTGTTTGCTGCACCTAAGCGACTTAATACTTACACGTACATCAAACAGGATTTGCTGAAAGGTATGTGTACAGTACATGTTCACTAGATACCATGAACTAAAGTGCTTGTACAAATAACTTATTATGGGAGGCACTAGTTGTATTATGACATGAGGATGCAGTGCTACCCTTCTGCTACTTATTGCTACTATTGGTACATGTATGTAATACTGTAGAAAACTAAAAACGGTGATTTGCTAATGTGACAGGATTGTCTGAAAATGTTCTTGAAGCTCCTGGAGGTTCAGGTGGTGTGATCAATTTACTTCCAATATATCAGTATATCAAAAGATCGCATCAGTGACTTACATGATGAAAAACCTGATTGAATAATGTCCATGTATTATAATTCAGTGGCATGTAAAAAACATGGTTTTAGGATCTGTACCTTTTTTTTAGGGGTTTTGACAAATATTTGGACATGGGGAATTCAAGAATGCAGTTTTTGCTCAGTTGAAAGGTCCATGAAATGAATTTTACACCGGAGCATACAATGTGCATGTACAATGTACAGTTTGTAACAAATTAAATAACCTCTGAAATGTTTAAAAACTATGAGATATTCCTTTTTGTTTAAATTGTTGCAAAATGCACTTTTTAAAACATTTAAATTGTTTCATGCTTTTCCTGACAACTAAGGGTGCTGTGGCTGTGATGTCCCTTTAGGAACACACTCTACAGACTAGCGTTTTCCTCTTCAAATTAAAAAATTTTTGTATTCAAGATTTTGTTTATTGAAAACACTTGTGCGCAACACTTAGTACGGAAACAGCAATGAACCACTTATTAAAGCAGAAAAATAACCACAGCAAAAGCCCTAAAACTCTGGTGACTTTTTATGCTGTTCAAAGAAGATGTGAAACTTAAGTTTCTGCCTTGAATGACATCACAGTTTTGCTCATCAATATGGAAATCTGCATTAGTATCAAAACCAAAAAGGCATTAAAGCTTCCTTAAATTGGCAATATGAAAGTAAAGTGAAATGGAACACAAAGGTACACTTCAAGGATGGCTTTTAAAAAAAGATTAGATTTACCCTCTAAAGAGATACAAATTTAGTTGTTTAGGGCTTACCAGAGTTGTAACGAGTCACTGATTTAGAAGTGACTCGAGTCGAGTCCAGTCATTTTAAAGAAGTGTCTCGAGTCGAGTCGAGTCATTAGGTCAAGAAGGTCAAGTCGAGTCGAGTTGAGTCAAATATTTAGCTCGAGTCAATTCGAGTCACAAATATTTTAACACTATTTACCAAAATGTATAAAAGGAGAGCATAAATTTAGCCCGCGTTCGAATCCAAAAGGCTTTATAAGAAATCGCCCAAAGCCAATGATGAAAGAACGAATTGAAAATAAATCCGGTTCCTGAATAGTATTTTGTGCTTTCCAGAACCATAAGGTGGGAGTCTGTGACACGTTGTACCGGTATGTTTGTAAATGAACATAAAATTTGCACCGTAAGTCATTGCAAATACTTTTCGCAAAATTTTGCTTTTATTTTGGGACTCGAGTCTTATTAGCCTTCGCTCGAGTCGAGTCGAGTCGAGTCTTTTGCTTGCAGTGACTCGAGTCGAGTCGTGTCATTTACCCATGGGGACTCAAGTCGAGTCGAGTCACCAAAATTTTTGACTCGAGTCGGACTCGAGTCGAGTCATTGACTCGAGTCATTACAACTCTGGGGCTTACGTAGCTTAGTACTGCACTTGCATTTAGGCTCACAAGACCTTTGACTGGATTTGCAGACTGTTGGATCCCTGCATTTTGAGAAACATCTCAAGCAGTAAAGTGAAATAAATGATTGATTGATTGCTTGTATTTTGTCTGATTTTTACTCTGTACAGAGGAGCAGGAGAGAGTACAAACGAAAACTTTCACCAACTGGGTCAACTCCCATCTGCGAACATCAAAGGTAAGACACCATTAGATTAGATATTTTGTTTAACTTCTTACAATGTATGTGAACATAAATTGTAAAATACATACAGATTTGTGTTGACAATCCCTTTCAATTTTTCCCAATCTGAAACAATTTTGTTGTCATGGACTGGATCAAATGGGGTTAATATTCGTAAAAAGTCTGTCCGCTGACAGACTTTTGTACACAATTGTATGCATTTGACTGAATTTATATAATTTGTCCTGAGATTTTTGCCAAGGAAATTTGATTGAGATATACATTGTACATGTATCCAATTTTCATGTTAAAGAAAAAATATACATTTGCAAACATCAAAAAACAAAACTACCAAATTATTATGAAATACCTTGCTGGACTGTTAGTGAATGACAGTCTAAAGCATCCGGTAAAATCATGGCACCAGGTGTGCTGTCATTTTCAAGAAAGTGGTATTTTTGTATCGGCCGACCAGCGTTGGAAAAAAGTGGCTTTTTTCAAATACTGCCCCCTATTTACCATATTTAGTTAGTCTGAATTTTGTTTGCAATTGATTACACGTGTTTGAACGGGTGCAAGCCAGCTAGACTGGTTCCCTGACCTTATACAATTCCCCAACGTCTATAAATTGCTCTGGGGTCAGGGAACCAGACTACAGGAACCTAATTGTTTTTCTTGGGTTTTCCAGCATCTGTGAACACAAAACATCAAACAAGTCATTGTAACAATAGTTGTTATAAAATTCTAACCCCCAAATCCATCCATTTCTGGAAAATACAGCAAAAGTAAATGTTGTTCAATTTAAGTTAATTTGGTCAAAAAAATTTCCAATTTGATTCCGAAACAGATGTTCCCAATACCCATGTTCCATTAAAGTACAACAAATTAAATTGCAGGAAGAAAATGTGGATATGTTCTGCATAACAAATGTGGCTGCCCTATTTATAGTTGATGGATTACAGTAGCTCATACACATGAGCATGTTATTGCCAGTGCATGTTCGTGAAATTGCATCTGAGATCAGTAGTGCATTATGAATGTGATTATGAACTTGCAACCGATGTGACGTGCTACGCGATGAATACATGTAGTTCACATGCGTGTTTCAGGAATAACATACAGGTTAAAGGTCATGGACATTTTTTAGGGGCTTGTTGTGTTATCCTAGGGTTCTTTGTGTTACCGGAACAAAGTGACATTGAAGCCTGCCTTGAAAATGTGAATGAAATCTGTGTATGGAATTACATTCACTTGTTTTCTTTTCTGCTTATAAGATGTATATTTTTCATTCCTTTGAAAAAAGTTTAATAGAGCAATGGAGACTGAAGAGAATTGATTTGTCAGGATTTTTCCTGATTTCAGGATTTTTGTCAGGATTTTCCTGATTTCCGGAGTCCTGAGGTTTTACCGTAACTTTAGGTGGTTGTACAAAATACCGGTAGCAAAAGAAATGGGTATTTTAATGGGTGTCTCTAGGTTATAGGCATTAAAATATACCACAGACCCCATGTTGCTGTGGGGACATGGGTACATATACAATGTACCTAAAACCCTCTGCCAATTGTTTCAAGGATTGTTAATTTTTTCCCAGTCTGACCCCTGCGATATACATACATGTACAACTTTAATTAAACAAGGATGTTTTCTTGATACAACATTGGCTCTCATCAGCTAAAAATTGAGTGAGCTGACAAAAATTTCTGTTCAGAATGGCCATTAATTCTTCCCAGCACATTTTGATGTTTGTATCATCTTTGAACATGTGAAAGTATCTTCTTTTTTTCCCTAGCGTGAGCCACCACTGCAGGTGGTTGACCTGTGTCAAGATGTCAAGAATGGAGTTGTCCTGCTTAGATTACTGGAGGTGCTGTCCGGGGAAACGCTGGTAAGCCAATACACAATGAAAAACTATGTGTAACTAATAACTTGCTTACAGGTAATTGAAAGCTAGTTATTAGTTACTCAGATTAGGGCTCAGATTAATTTAGGTAACATTTACTAGAATTCAGGATAATGTACCAACCTATTTTGACAAGACCAAAAGCCAAAAACATTTTTTTAATGCTAATGTATTTGCTGAAATTTGACCCCCTCCCCCCCCCCCAAAAAAAAACCCTGATGAACTGAAAAAAACCAAAAAATTTGTTTGTAACTTTCAATAGAAAATGGGGAAAAAAATTGCAATATAAATGGAGCATTTAACGGTAATAACCACTGGGTTTTATTTATAGAAACCAGCAGACCAGCACTGAAACCACTGGACTCTGTCCAGGGTATAGTGGGTATTTCAAGCTCTGTATAATCTCCCTGCTTCAGTGCCTACTGCAGTTCCATTGTAATTTGTACCCGTACCACCGTAAAGCAACAGCAGTTGAAGGCATTGATACTGGGATAAGCATAGGACCATTGGTGTACTAAGACATCCTTGAATTTTTTGTAAAAATATTTTACAATGCAATTCACTAAAAATGAATTCACAAAACGTCTTCTCATATGGAACAAAAGCACACACCTCAATGGTGGCTGCCATGCCAAGGATTTACTGGCTATATTATGTCGGTACATGTAGTTCAAATTATGCGAATGTCTGGAATTTATGTAGGTAATTTCACATGAATTTCCGTATTGTGATGATTTCATGTGGTTTGGTGGAATTGCCAATTTATAGGGTTTCCTTGTGTCTAGCATTCATCACGTCTTGATTCTCTCACACAGTCCGTAAATAAGTCACATCACCTTAGAAATTAAAGCATGTCCACTTTTTTCATCCTCAGCCATTTGAGAGAGGAAGGAACATGAAGAGAGTCCACTATCTGAGTAATGTCAACACATGCTTAAGATTCCTGGAGGGCAAGAAGGTATGTATTTAGATGGTTACTTACATTTGCATTAAACACGAGATAAACAGACAGCCGTGTTTTACTATACTCTCGAGGACAGTCCTTTGTGTTTTCATTTGTCCCTGTAATATAACACACTCCCATAGATTAAGCACACGAACCTACTACAGAGGACCGTTTCCAACAAAGACCCAACTCCCGAGGACTGAAAGGATCTGTTGTTCTTCCTTTGTGTGTCGGTCCTCGGGGGTCATGTAGAACACGTACAGCCCTTTATGTTACGTATCTGGTAACATCAATGGGGGGGGGGGGGACATTTGTGACAAACGAAGTAAGATTACAAGACCTAACCAGACAAGATAATTTCATAATAATAATAACTTGCATTTAAATTTAGCTGTATTCAATCAAACAAAATCACAACACTTAAAGATATAGTCCATCATTTGTAATTTGTGCATTTTGTTCGTTTGAAGCAACAAAAGTGTTCAAAATCTAATGAAGGATGCTGAACAACTAACCTGATGAAGTTTCAGCTCAGATTCAGCTGTATATTCCGAGAAAAACGGCATTCTAGGATCTCAATTTCAAATCAAAAGTTGCTGAATCATGTTTTGAATTGTTTTGAATTGCAGCTTTACGCGATGTCGCGCATTGATCCGACGAATTATAGGAACCGCGCCCGCCTGTGCGTCGTGCCAATGCTTGCGCGCGACCGCGCGCTGCGCCGAATAACAAAACGAACTACTAATTTAAATTTTCCTACGGTGCGTCTTAAGACGCACCGTTGGAAAGGCCTTCTTTCATTGATTACTTCAAAATGATAGCTTGCCAGAAAGATTAATTTCACAGGGAGTTTAGTCCACTTACTATCTTTCAACCAAGTATGTTTTTCAACAATAATACGCCAGTTACTTTTTCAGATGGCTGCAAATGATGGACTAGAGCTTTAACCTGCACAATTGTAATTAAGGAAACAGAAAACATTTTATTTTAAACAAGATTAAGCTACATAATTGAAAGTTGATTTCCTTCTCAATGTTGTCCTACTTTGAAGCAGCTTAAGCAACACTTAGTAAACAAATTTAAACAACTTTTGTTTGAATCTTGCATTTTAAATTTTATGTACCCGGGACACTATATTAAAGTACAAATTATCATTGAGTAAATTTTTCAATTACATTACTGTGCATATTCTAAGATCCTTGTTACTGCCATGATTTAAATTTTATTGTTGACACTTTTTAATGACAAGAAATTACATCTGGTAATAACATTAAAACAGACACAGGTGGTTAATTATGATGTTATCTTCTCAATTCAGATCAAGTTGGTGAACATCAATGCATCTGACATCATTGATGGCAAACCACCAATCGTACTGGGCCTTGTGTGGACGATCATCCTCTACTATCAGGTAAGTCGCACTTCTCGATATCTAAATTTAGCGTTTGTTCATAATGCTGTTACAATACGTAGTTGCATGCTAAGTGCTTTGAAAATATTCCAGAGTAATATGCATTGTCATTGGTCTCCATAATGTGTTCAGTTATGTTCATCTAATTAATGAAAATTGTGTGCCTGTAGGTACTGAAAACATTATGATGTACAAATTGACAGTTTGAACGTTTTGAAATGTAGCCTCACTTGGTCTACATTGTATGTTACGAAAATACATGTACAAATGTAATTGCCTTATTAAAGAAAATCATTTGTTATTGAGATGTACCGTAGGACAGTGTGTACATATTGTGCTGCTCATAAAACTGACAATTTGTAAAATTGGCAAGGCCAAAATGGTTAAAAAAAATTATAAGTCTCTTAAGTGTCAGCCATATTTGTAGCCGATATGTTCATTTTTAGCAATTGCTAGCTACATGTATACATTTCACATTCATCTGCGTTTATACATGTATACATTGTACGCAGTGGAGGATCTATGGGAGTGGAGGGGGGGGGGAGGTAAGCGGTATAAACGCTCCCCCCCCCCCCTCCCGGCCACAAAAAAATTGGAAAATCATGCAGAAAAACAGAGCAAATGCCTGCAACATGTACCTATGTAAGTCCCCTTGGCAGCTTAACCCCCCTCTCGATCCAAACCTGCATTCGTCCCTGGTTAGTCTTACAAGTCTTCCAGTCTCAAGTTAAATGGCAAGCCATTCAAAGTAACTGCAATGAAGGTATTGCTTTGTCATTGCTAATGATCATCCTCTTTTCACTTCTGTCGACTTGTTGATTAGCTAAGCAGTACTATAACCCATGAGTGACATTATGGAGGTTTCTCTGTCTGCGTGGTTGCTGGGGTAAAATGGTTGTCAATTGCAAAAATGCTGGAATTCCCCGAGCCTTGTTTTCAGAAAGCCTTGTTCAAGAATTATGATACATATATTAGTCTTGAAGGAACCAAGTATGTACATCGTCCTGTTCAGAAATTGCATACTTCATGATTGGAAATAACCAGAAACACTGCCAAGTGCTGCTGTTTCCTTCAAACCCAACTCAAATCAAAATCCATCCCCCCATTTTGTTGGATTTCGGGGGACTTGGTCCTGCAAGCCTGGTTTGACTTAGCCTTTCGCCAAGGCAATAGTGGCTTAGAATGGCGGAGCTGCGAATGCACTAAGCGACTGGAGCAAAGATTAAGTCAGCACTCACGCGTGGCGTAGCCACGAGGCCTTTTCCAACTTGATTTTGCGGTTTTGCGTTTTTGTTGTTGAATGCTGACTCCTTCATTTCCGATTGTTTGGAATTTTGCTACCCTTTTGGGGTAGCAAAAATCGAGATTATAAGGAAAAACATAACAAATTCTTGACAAGTTGGAAAAGGCCTCGTGGCTTCACTCGCGTGTGTGGTCTCCTACTCTAGTCGCTTCGCGGCTTCGCCGCTTTGTCAAATGCTAGCAAGTTAAACCACGATGGTCTTGGCGAAAGGCTAGGTTTGACTAAATATTGATGGCTTATGATGGACTTGGGCCTGGAAGCCTAAAGCAAAGCATGCATCTGAAGCAGTGTGATTGATTGATATTGGACTTGGTCCAGTACTTAGTAAAAGACAGTAGGGTTAACCAGGTGTAGTGTGCAATCAATTAAAGACTTGAGGTGAAGTTTGTACACATGTAACATGTGTGCATAAAGTGGTACATTAAAGGCCTCATTACTTTTAATGAAGAAGAAACACGTACAAATTGACAATTAATTTGATGAATTGAACATTAAACAGTGAACCCAGTTGTTGAAGTACCAATCCCAGAGATCCAGTAGTGGTGTGTAAAATGTCAAAGTTCACCAGAGAACACCTGAATGCTGGGAGCGTAACAATTTATGAAACTTAATAGCATCTCTCATCTCTCAATCAGGGTCAAGCGATTCAAATTAATAATATTTGTCAACTTGTGCAGGTGTTAAATTTTCCCCCTCAAGGTGTACGGTGTGTGTGTGTCTGGATTACAAGGGCGTCAAAGTGATCACTTTCCATATGGGCGTAATGGATAGTTGAGATGCCCGAGGTGTTGGGAATGGTGATATTTTGTATCAGTTTTCTAGGCTGGACAGAAGGTTTACAAGTGGGCCACCTGTGTCCTAAAATAAGATTAATAGTTTAAACATTTGTCAGGATTCTTTATCAGTTTTTGATGTGTAGACACCATAATATTGTGTGAATCTCTATTTTCAAATGAATAGGGCCTAAAGAATATCTACAAGCAGGATTTAAATCCCTGCACTTTTATTTGAAGTACTGTACGTGGATGTAGCCACTTTGTGTAAAAAAATATTTTAATTGGTATATGTCAGATTTTTTTGTCATTGGTGTGGATTGAAAATCTGTTACTTCAGCCAGTTGAGCTGTCCAGCTCTTTGTTGGCAGCCACTAATGGTCATGTGAAAATCTCAAATTTTGAAGGGAAGTATACTATGTTTGTTAGCCCAGTATTTGGGTTTTTTTAGGGGGGCAAGGATTTATCTACTCAGAATTGGTATTTTGATGAGCAGAAGTAGAAACGGATTTTCGGTTTCTCAGCAGTGAATCAATTGCACCATTCTGTCTCCATGAACATCCCCAAATTAACCATTCAAACATGGTAGGATTTTTGAAAATCAAACAACACATTGAATGATTGACTGTAATACAGTGACCATCCAGAGCTTTTAAAAAAACATTTTCTGCCTTTTCGTAGAAAATGTTAGAAAAAGTAAAAAGCGTCCCAGATTGTGTGCACCATTTGGTAGAGTTTGCTGTGATTAATTTTGGCAGGTTGAAAAAGTTTGAGCACTCAAATTCACAGTTTGAAACTTTGTAGTGTATCATTGCTATTGGCTGCTGTAGAAGATATACCAGCTTATTGAAGAAATTAGAGTCAATTTCTTTGAGTTGAAACTCGCTAAGCACTGAAGGAGGCTGCTTAGCAGAAACAGGTGCCGCTACAAAAACAACAGTGCTAATAATACATGTATGATTCATGGATGTAAATGTAGTAAGCAATATTTAGTGGATAGCGGCTCCACATGATCGAATCGAGCATGTGCAGTGTAGTGCATGAATTGAATAACTGCATGCTAATACTGGCTTAATACATTACTTTACCTGCCCCCTTCTCGACCCCCCCCCCCCTCAAAAAAAAAATTGCTCCCAACCATTCGATTGGTTTGATTTCAATTGGCTGGATGTCCAGCTTTTTATAAATGATTTTGCATAAGATGCATGGCTAAAGTAGCATTATGTCAAGTTCGTCATAAAACAAATCTTCAGAACAAGTTATAAAAGTACCTCTGTCGTACATGTACGTCAAAATCAACTGAATTTTATTTTTGCACCTACCGGTAACATGTCGTATCTTTTATTTTTGGAGTGGGGGACAAGACAAGTCTGAAACATGTTTTCGTGCATGCTTTAAAAACCACGGCATGTAAATTGGATTATTTTTACTTTATTTTTGTTGTCATTGTTAAACATTATGTTGTTTAATTTAAACCAAAAAAAAAAAAAATGCTTTCCTTTCATGCCATGAGTGTGTGTATCCATAGTAACCCCGCCTTCCAAATATGCATGGCTTATAATTGCACGCTAGATGAAGGACCTCTTGGATACAGATGAGGGGGGCTTCTGGTTTGGCCTGTTCTCATCCCAAGGGTCAAAGGTCGCCGCCGTGCACCTCTTCTGCGGCTGCAACATCCGGCAAATGACGAGGCTGTTGGCGATGTGGAACCAGTCCCAGGTCAGAGGTCCAACTTCATGTATCCCATCATGCCATGTGTTTCCTGGTAGACCATTCCATCCATGCGGTAGCCGCACCAGTGCCGCTAGGAGTCGCAAATCACCCGAGTCACAGCGCCCTCTCTTGACGCGCTTTCTCTTCCTTCTTTATCTCCCCACAGCTAATCTTCGCAGTTTGTCGTGCTCTAACTTTCTTCATCTTCTGTTCATATTTCAGACTTGCTTTCTGATTTTTGCAGTGGACAAACAACACGCACAAGCTGGATTGTACTAGTTTTTTTTCCCCCCACAGATTATTTGAATGTATTAACTCTTCACTGACATCTTCACCGAGCACTCCAGGAACCTGCAATAAAAATTGCCAGGTTTTGCAGACTTGACTCAAACCCACAATCCACAGTGCCACACTCATGCATATTAAAACAAATAAGAGTTTTACTACATGTACGTATTAACATTGGTAATGACCTGGAAAGGACCAACTGAAAAAGTAAAGATAGGGATGGTACCAAAAACCCTGGGAAATTATTCTGCCTGAAATGGTATCATTCAGAAGAAAGAACTCATTGATAAAAGAACTCATGGGTACAGGTACATGAGTTAGCAATGGAATCCAGTTACAAGACCCCAAATCTTGTGCATACGTTTTCTCGGTTTTCTCAAAATGTAGAGTATAGGTACATGTATACGCGAACATCCTGGGATTTTTTTACAATGGCTTATCTAGCTCCCAGACCTATTTTCTTGAAACTCAATGATTCTTGAGTCTGGAGTGCTGAATGGTAACATATAGCAACCGATGAAAACTGGTGTGCAAATGATTAGATGTTTTCATCGGATGACGTCAGCCCGCCCCCACCCTTTCACTGTACTTCAGCAAATTGTCATGCTCCCTTCCTGAGAATTTTAGCAATTTTGTCACTCCATATGAAAAAATGCACAAAAAGTAGAGGTTCCTATGAGGGTGTATCATTTTCTATGGCTGAAATATGATTGCTTTGTTGTGAAAAAAAAAAACTAACGCTTGAAATTTCTTGGTGTGAAACCTTTGCAGATCAAACACACAGTGCTGGTGAGTGCAGCATTCATTTATACCGGTATAATGTTGCTTGCTGACGCACAAATAATGGACATTGTGTATGCCTCTTGTTGCAATGGTGGAATGTGCAAGGGCTGGTTTTAGTTAACTGAATGAAATTATTAAAA